TATATATATATGTTACAAGTATCCAGAAACAAAGCATTCTTGTTTGCAGACATACAGAAACAAAATTAATGGGGAGCTTGACTCTACACCAGCATGTGATTTATCAAAGAATAATTTATCCAAAAGCTTCAATAAGTTATTAATTTTGAGTTTTGATTAATTATTTGAACCATTCTTTTGCTGAGGTAGGATGATTTTATAATAAACAATGCAGTTACGTATCCATAGCCGTCAACAAAGGGTTAAAGTTAAACATTCATGCTTAAAGATTCATCCTGCTCTGATATTTGGCCAAGTTGCACCTCAGCCATATGTTTTTTATAGCCGTTAATAAGATTATGGAATAGTTCTGACAGGATGTGTCTACTCTGCACTTTTAAGTGTAGTTCGCACATTTTAATAGGATTTAAGTGAGGCTTTGGTCATTCTCGGTGTCAGCCTGCTTTATCTGTCAGTTTTGATGAGCGTTTCTGATCGCTGTCCTGTTTGAAAGCTGATTTAGTACCAAGGTTCGACCAGCTAGCTCTTGATTTGTGGCAAAAAGTGTAGAGATAGTCCTAAATTTGGATAAAGCACCAGTGCAAATGTGACATAAACAACCTAAAACATGATGCAACCTCCATGATTAATAGTAGCTGCAATATTTCAGCTTAGGCTAGGTCTATGGGTAATACAAGACATGTTCATTTATGTCTGAATTTTGCATATAGCTCAGTTGTTCTAGCCTAAAGCAAGGCGAGAACACAAATCCAAACAAAGTAAAGTAACTGTGATGGTAGTTATTATTAAACAAACATCTATGATAGTTACAGCCAAACCTTCTTCTGGTTGGTCTCCATCTCCCATTCCTGATGCTGCTGTTGCTCTGCTGATGCTACCGTTGCCACTTCCTGTTTCTTGTTGATCCTGTTCTTCCAGTCTTCCTCACCGCTCTTCTTCAGCAGCGCCACTCTAACAATAAACAAAAGATAAGAAGGTTTATACATGCGTTTAAGGAATTTTTGTACATTTATTATTGTTTGTTAATTCTCTTCCCCAAGCAACCAGCAATAGGACTAAACAGTCCCATTATCCCGTTGCAATAAAACATTAGTTTATCTTGAGGCGTTTTACAAATTTACCAGAAGCCCCCATAAAGCGTCTTAGGTGCTGAAAAGAAATGAGTTTTCAAAAGTAAAAAACAGATTATTGGTTTCTCAGCCAACAAATCTGGCCTGTATAAAAGGTGGGTGTGTGAGCAGAGCTAATAACGGATGGCTGAAGGGTAAAAGAAAGTGTGTCATTATTGCTGCTACTGCTGCATGAAAAGGCCAGAAATGAGGGCAATCTGAGGAATCTGCTAAAACTCAGAGGGGACAGTCCGTCTGCACAGATCTCTGCTGGCTGCCAAGAAAAAGATTATAATGATGCTATAAAAAGACTCTTCAGTGATTTGAAAGAGGTAGAAACCTTACTGTGTAAGAAAACATGTTTAAAACTGTTAAACTCTGAGAAACTAGCAATTTTCTCACCTTTGGGTTTTTTAAAGGATAATTTTTAAAGTTCATTAATGTCTTTAAGATCCCATTTCTGGTTTCCACCCTCTTTATCCAGACTTATTCACTGATATCAGTTCTTTCTTTGTGTCTCTTTTTGTTTGCAAGAAGCTTCCCATTAATGAAGGTTTAAACATCACCATTTCTAATTCAGAAAGAAAAATAACAAATTTATTTCTTCAGCTTAATAGAAAAGCAAAGATTTGTAATTTGCGTAATTTGTGTCATTTATCGTAATATTATTAAATTCATATTTCTGCAGAAAATTCATAATCCATTTTTTTTCATCAAAAGTTAAAGATTGTAATCAGAAATGTTGTGGAGAACCCATATTGCTCAGAAATGTTGTCTTTATTTATGTTATCAGATTATATTTGAGTGAGGAATAGTCTACTGATTTTCAGTTAGTTATTAGCCTCATTTAGCAAAGATAAAATATCTGTATTCGCTAATTCTTTTTACATTTATTTATGATATACTATTTTTTATGTCTTTTGATCTGTTACGCTAAAAAAATATTTAATAGAAACAAACAAAATCATATTTATTGAACTAGTTGTCTGCCTCCTATCATCTGTAATCTATTCTAATGTCAACAATCAAAAGATTAATAAAGTTCACACGTGTCCACATCAAATACGAATCCAGCATAAAACAGTCTGTAGAATCCAGAATTTCAAAAGAACAGTTATGCAATTTTTACTTGTATAGTGCTGAATGTGAAAAGATGCTAAATATTATATAATTTAAGAAGTACTCAGTAAATACAGAGTGAGCTATGATAAAGAACAGTTTAATAGTTTTATTAATACATTCTGCTACATCCCTCTGTTTGAGGAAATTCATGATCTTGATGTGACCTGAAATAAAAATGAGTTTTATATTTAGGACTTTCACAAAAACAATATTTACTGAACAACAAATCATCCAAGAAATTATTGTGATAAACGATAGTATTGTTATTTTGAAACCATTTTCAACTAATACAATCAAATGCAAGTAAACTTTAATCTTGTACGAAACACTCACTGCAACTGGAAGACATTTTAAATATCCAAAATAAAACACAAAACAAAATCGACACACAACCAAAACCATAAATAACATGAATAATGAAGACTCTGTAAACAAAATTGCCCTTCAAAAAATTATTGATCTCATTTTAATTCATCATGAAATTAATGAATTGATTAATTGCTTATTGCGACAGGTGTAGATAGAGTACATATAAAGTTAACCAGATGAGTCTCACCTCTCCTTGATGGACATCTGTTTGGTGGACATGCCGTCAGGCAGTTGGTCTCCGGGGTCTGTGGGGGACAGCAGGTCTCCAGAATGGACACTGTTCTTGCTGAAGTCCTCGGGATGGTCCGGGGTCGCGACCTGAGGCTTGAGAGCCTGGGGGAAGGAGTGAGGTTTAGGGGGCGTCTGAGGCGGCGCCTGAGGTTTGGCCTGAGGAGGCTGGGGGGCGACCTGAGGGTACGGCTTCGATAGGGTTTGACCTGGAGGTTTGGGCTGGGGCTGCACCGAATGGGTGAAGGGTTTGGGCTGGGTGGGCGGGGCCTGGGAGTAGGACTGCGGCTGGATGTATAAAGGGGGTTTGGGAAGAGTCCGAGGGGGCTGGAGGATACTTTGCTGCTGCTGCTGGCCACTTGAAATGTAAGACACAGTCCGGGACGATACCTTAGCTATCAGAGGCTTCAGCGGCCCTGGGTGATCCGGCAAGTCTGCAGGAAAAAGAGACCACAAGCATGTTTTTGCATTTTCTGAAATCATGTTGAAATTAAGATTTTAACATGATTATTTTAATATCAACAAGCAAAAATGTTCTGTTTTGATTTGACATGTAAAGGGACAAAGAAAAAAAAACATTTTCGATGGATTGATCAAACCAGATTTCAACCAGTATTATTTTTTTAAATAAAACTAAAATGCACCACAGAACACCACAGGAAATCATTCCTGTCTGTAGCCATCAGGTTATTCAATGACCAACCCTGACTGCTCTTAATTCATTTTTTCAGACTGATTTACAGATTTATTTATAAATTAATGCATTTCCATGTACATTAGTGAACATGTTATTTTATTGTTGTTTTATTAATTTGTTTGTTTTATATTTAGTCATATTTAAATTACAATATCATTCTTCTGTATTTTTTAAATACATTTTTTTATTGCCTTATGATTAATTTTTTTATTTACCAATATTTAACACTTTGGATTAAGTAGCTTTCAGCATAAACTATTCTATTCTATTCTATTCCATAGCAAAATGACCCAGATATGTTTAATAAAATATGTTTGTGGTATGATTTCTGAGATTTCTCTGTTTTGGAAATAATTAGTTTAATTTTATCCTATGCTGTTAGTTATGCCATTATTTTTGTATTTCTAAAAACATCCGATATTTTCTGAAAAAAATACAATTTATTATTTTCAGTTCTGTTGCTGCAATTTCTAAAATTGTTTTGTCCTCCCTTTTCCTTTTCTTGTCTTGTTACAACTTTGTCTTAGTATTTGTTTCCTGTTTGTTGTTGCTTTTTTGGCTTTTTATTTTTATTTTCAAAATCATGTCAATATTTTCCTAAGATTGTGTAAAATTATTATTTTTTTTGTTGATTGTCAGAGTTAATAAGAACATGCTTTTATAAACTCTGTTTTATTTATTGTTGAATATCATTTTGCACCTAATCACCATTGTAGTAACCAATACAGTCACTTGAACACAATAAACTAATCTCTAGAGCTTTTTTTGATAAAAGAGATTGTTTAATCATCTACAAGTGTATTAATTACCCTTTGGGGATGAAGTATGAATGCACTAACTAAATAAATGTCTTAGTTATTAGGACATCTACCTGTTTTTCTGGTTTTTTATTGGCCTTAGTGCCTGGGTTGAAAGGTTTATGGTTTCACCAGAGCGATGAGTATGGAGGTTTTTCTAACCTTTTGAAAGGACAGAATAATGGACACTTATGAAGGCCGAGTCACATAGAACTAACAAACAGCAGCTTGTACTTCCACCTGCTTTATTTAAGTGTTGCCCTGCCCTCTTTTTGTCCTTTCATCTCTTTCTGCTCTGTTTGTGTGCATGGGAAAAGACAAGCCCTGGACACAACCTAGATTAGCAGATAAAAGCAGGTCAGGTCTACTCTGCTGTAGTCTGAGGCGTAAAGTGGTGCAAAGTGGGACCACGGCTCCTTTATGGGTCACGACAGCGCTGGGATTCGATCAGAAATCTGTGGCACCGTTATGAGGGAAGGGCTTCCCCTTTTCCAGACAAAGAGCTTCACGAGGTACATTCATGGAAAAATATGCTAATTAGATACAGCCTGAAACGCCTCTCTGCATCAGCCAAATCAAACACTCCCAGCTGGGATGTGCATGTGTGTGAGTATGTGTGTGTGTTAAGTGTGTGTGTGCAGCCGGCACAAAGCAGTCATGCGTGGGAGTACGACAATGAGAAGACAATGAGGATAACAGGAGCAGACCCATTTTGGTGGGCATTTCTGGTTCCCTTTTTTTGCTTCTTTTGTCCTCTTTTCCTCTTACAGATCTCCATCTTCTTTACTCCTTTTCTGCTCCATTTCTTATCAATGAAAGTGAGTGATACCACTTACCTGAGATGCCTCCCTGGCTTCTCTTTGGCTCCTGTTTGGAGGAGCTGTGAGCTGCTCCTCTTCCTCTTTCCTCCTGGGAGTCTGCAGCTCTCCTGCTGGGCGGAGGCTCCGGCTCGCCACGCCACACAGACGGTTCGGCAGAGTGCTTAGGATGCTGCGGCTGCTCTCCTCTGTCCCTGTCAGAGGAGTGCAGCTTCTCCTGAATGCCGTCTTCCCTGGCTCCTCCCTGCTCTTCCTCTTTCCTGCCTCTCCAGCCCTCCAGCAGCGCCTCGCTCTGCTGTCTGTGGCCCACGGAGGATGAGGGGACAGGAGGAGCCCCAGCTTTCTCTGGGCTGTCAGGAAGGAGGGGGCAGGGATCGGGCTGCCCCTCCTTGCGGCCTTGGTGCCCTCTCTGGGTCAGGGAGAAATACCGCGGCGCCCTCTCCTGGTGGACGCTCGCGCTGCCTGTTGGGGCCTGTTGTTGGGCAGGGACGTACGGGATGGCAGTTGATTTCTCTGGATGGAAACCGTCATCGATGCTGCCGCCACCGCCGCTGCTGTGTGGGGACATGGTTACCGTGGTAACGGAGGCTTGCGAAGTGACGGCCGCTGCGGATCGGACGAGGGAGACGGACAGCGGCTCCAGTTTGATTTTCACCTGAAAATGCAGCGATAGACACGTTATAAAATTGGGAAATAGAAATTTTCTGTAAAAGGGAAACCAGATGTTTGGATCAAGGCCGGACGAAGCCTTTTTGGGCCCCTAGGCAATTTTCATTCAGGGCCCCTCATGCCAAAATGTCAAAACAAGATGGTATCATTCCTAAGCTGCTAGACGTGTGTAAAAAAAAATCCCTATAATTGTTACCATCATTTGTAATTTTTCAGTTGTTGACTGCATTGTGTTTGCTTTATAACTTTATAATTTTCTATTTTTGATACGTAAAGCACCTTGAACTGCCTTGCTGCAAAATGTGCCATGCAAATGAACTTGATTGACTGATTGATTACTAAACAGTATACCAACTTTATTATGGCTGTTTTTGTTAAATAGAAAATATATTTGCAGTAAAGAAGTTAACAAGTTTGACATCTACTTTTTACTTTTACTTGAGTAAAAATATGTTGGAATATTTTCACTGGTTAAATACCACAAAAATAAGAAATTGATAATTATTTGCTTAAAATGATTACGTTTACATTGTTTTCTTCAGTGTTTGGTATAGCTGCTTTCAAAACTGTTCTGTTTGGGTGAGACGTTTTTGTATTCACCCACAACCTTCTCACAGTAGTTTACTGGAGTCTTGGCTCATTCCTCCAACAGAACTGGTGGAAATGCCCATAAATTTGACCTTGTAATGCTTATGTAATGAAGTGTGTTATTTTTCTGACAACATCCGGCTAAGGAAGAATTGCGCTTAATATTGCACTTGGACTTAATATTTGGAAATGTCCGTGGTGGGCACTGCTAACTAAAAACGTAATCATAAACACTAGTTCTGCCGGTAATAGCGCAACACACCAACAAAGTATTTAACAGAAGGTAATGCTAAAGTGCTAGCTTAAATTTAAATTATAGCTGCTTTTGACAAACCTTAAAAACACATATGTCCAACTTTATTCAACTGAAAGTTTACAAAACAGAAAACTGAATTAACGCTTAAGAATTTATCCGACATATTAGTTTAGGGGAAGCTAAGTGTGCAGAAAGTTCTCAAAGCTCTAAGCGAAAAATTAGCTCCGCTACTAGCAAATTAGCTGATTAGCAGAAGTGTGCCCACCACTGGCAAATTCCCATTTCTAAATCAGCATCAGGTACAAAACGTGTTCGTCAGGACATTCCTATGACTAACTAATAATAAAACTGGAATAATCTAGCTTATTTCTTGATTTCTTTCCCACATTCAAACATCTCATACTTGTTGTGCAACAAACAAGCATGTCTTGGAAGCAGCTGCAATCAAAAACAACAAAACAGGCACCCCTAGACTATCCATTACATGCTGCAAGCAACACTTGATATCCACCGTGCTGGAGCTGTTGACATTAAGCCACTACCATATAAAGCATAAACACGGCTGACGAGCAGGACCAGTCAGATCAATACCAAGCCAGAACCAGACATTGACAGCAGAGGGGTCTTACGTGTTCTCCCTGAGGGGCCTCTAAATCCCTGTTACACACCGCAGAGGTTACAGTTTCCTGTGTGGACACCAGTTATTGATCATGACTCACAACATGACGAAGACAAACTGTTTTTAAAAAAAGCACCTGACATCCTGTCTCTGTTATTTTTTTTAGATCGCACACCTTTTTCTGTGAAGCTCTGCCATCCTACAACATTTTTTTGCATTCACTGCTAACAAGTAAGGATTCTGCATCAGTCAGAGGAGTTGTACTAATATTCAAAATCAATCAAAAAATGATAGACTGTCAATTAGGGCTGGGTGATAAATTCATTTTATTGATTAATCAATTATTTTTGGTTTTTGAAGACATAATTTTTGGAAAATCTGGATTTTTTTTCACCAAAGTGCTCCCTGGTTTCCATAGTGCAGAAGGATGAAGAGCCGCCATCTTGTTTGGAAAGCATTTTTTTTTACTTTTAAGATATTTTTCTGGTAAAACTGCAACTTTATACTGCTAACATAATGCCCATATTCTCAGAATTAAACAAAAATTCTCATAGTCTAGTCATAATACTCTCGTTGTAAAACTCCTGGAAGGAATGATTGAAATAAAAGCCACTTTTTGAAGACATTTTCTGTCATCTGTAAAGTCTTTTTAGAAAACAATGTAAAAAACATTTCTTAAAATTGGATCTGATATGAAAAAAGTTGTAGATTTTATTTTTGTAGTGAAAATATGTAGTGAAATCGCGGTACCTGCTCCACTTCTCCCTGGGTGATGGGTTGGGTCTGGAAGCGGGCGTTGGCTCTTCGCTGCCGGGTGTCGCCTCGAGAGCCCTCTTCTGCCTTCGCCGTGGGATGTGCGAGGCGGTTAAACAGGGCCATTTTCTCAGACAGACTGAGTGTGGAAAAGTCTGGCTCCTCAGGCAGAAGCTCCTGGCCATCTCCAGCAGCCTGGCTCTGTTTCTGGAGGGCCTGTGTTTCTGTCTCCTGCTCCTGGGCTGTCGAGCTTGGCTGCGAAGAGGCGTGAATGCTGTGGAAGTGACAGTCGTATTTTCAGTATCTGAAAATGAAGTCGTTATACATAAAAAAAAAATAAAAAAAACTTTTGCAGCTGTGCATGTTTATTTATTTGAAGAATATACATTTTACCTTTACCATGTTGAGTAAAATTTCAAGTTGTTTAATATTTAAAAGTGACCTTTAGATTAGGACAGATCTATGGGTTCTACAAGACATGTTCTTTACACTTTTTCCACAAAATCATTCTTATGTAATAAGATTTCATGATCTGTTTTCAGCTCAATTCAGAATGAGCTGTCTTAGTGGCGTTTTGTCACTTTAAATCCAAATAAGCTGCAGCTGACTACGCCTCCTCAAATCCAAAGTTTTCACTCGCAGGTGAAAATGGCTGCCAACAATTATACAACTGTACATCTTTGAAAAGCATTAGTAGAGTCTGCTGCACAATCAACGAGAATGCGGCAAGTGGTTTCTCGATGGTAAGTGAACAACAAAGCAGTTGTCTTTTCAGCAGCCATTGTACAGCAAATACAGCGGTAAACATGATGGAGCTCCACTTGGGTTGCAAGGTGATGGGCTGGGTTTGTTGGGGTTGCTAGGTGATGGGCACTTCCTGCTGATTTGTAACTTTACATCCCACAGGTTTTTGAAACTGCTCATTTTCCAGACACCAAAAAATATGAATATTTATTTTTAAGTGCTTAGGATGTTTTTAGAAACAATTGAGACCCAAACATTCAAAATGTGAATTTCGCATAATAAGTTCTCTTTAAGAAAACATAATAAAGGCATAGTAAATATGAGTAAGCTAAAAATGTGTCAAAAAATGTTTACAAATCAAACTATGTAGATTGTTTGTTTTATGATAATAATCCTCACACCCTTGTTTATTGTTAAGCAAACCTGACTGCTCCAACTGTTTAAGATTATCAGACACTACAACAGAAGCATAAGTAGATCAGATTGTCATGTAATGCACCTGGATGTTTGCAAGGGTTACAGTAATCTCCACAGTGGTGAGTAAACAAATCACAAGATACACACACCTATTGCATACGAAGGGTTCAACCTTTGACCTTTTTATCAGTCATAAACAAAGCATCTTCACTGATATTTATGATCTGCATATGAAAAACTCTGTAAGTAAAACACTTCCTCATCAACACTTTGTATGGTAATGGCCTGCTGTACAAACAGTGACAGCTTTTTGCCCTATTGGCAGCATGAATCAGAGAATCAGCAGATAAAGTTAGTGAAACTAAAACTGCATATCCTTCACACAACCAGGAGAGGGAGATGAAGACAGATAGATGGCTGCAAAAACAACTTCAGCTTTTTCTTTTCATGATTAACATAAGGCTAAAGCTGAATTATTTTAGAATCATTTAGTCTGTTGGACAGAATTTTATAAATTTTAACCTGAATTGAGAGAAGTTGTTCGGTGTCAAGCTCACCTGATGCTAGTTACACTGGTGCTGGCTGCCGTAGGGCTGCGGACTTGACTTGGACTTGTGGGGGTTCCTTCTGGTTGTGATGAGGTCATAGCGTCGCTAAAAATTTAAGACAAATTTAAATAATGAGGAAAAACAGCAGTACGGTGTCTTTAAATTGCAAAATATTAACAATGACTATAAAAGCATGATTTACCTGGAAGCATTGACCACCTCTTTGTTGGTGACAGGTTGTGTGTGCGCACGGTCCTGAACTCTTCTCAGGCGTCGTTCCACGGCAGCGTTTCGTGAGCGGGGTTTGGGAACGCATCCATCTGATGTTTTTTCTAACTCCTGAAACAAGATGTTAGCAAAATATCACTTCTAGCAATACCATCGATCCTATATAAAGCCATGATATAGGCCCTACATGACATACTGTAAAAAAAATACTAAAACTCCTCATAACTATTGTGAAATAAGATAGAAAGACTTCATTTGTCACTCCTATGAAGACAAAGTAGTAGTTTATTTTGAGGTTCCACTTTGTTTGATGTTTAAAAATATCTATCTGATGCAAGAGAAAAAAAAGAAAAAAATGTACCCTGAAGAGGGATCGCTTTGCAGCCACACTCATCTTGGCTCTCTCATCCACCTTTTCTTCACCTTCTGAAAAATAAAGACAAATTTTAGTTCTAAGGCATTTATTTTCTAAAATGACAACAAACTTTATTTTAGACATGAATTTATTTTGTTGTTAATGTGACATCTTGGCCAATGTTTTGCTAGCAGTGGCATCATGCCTTCTGCTTAGGTTAGCGTTGTGTGCTAGCTGTTAGCACCTTGAGGAAATAACCTTACATTTTATTTTGAGTCATATCATTACATAAACAGTTTGGCATTGTTTGTGCCAAACAATGCCAAACACATGGTCCAGTGAATTGATGCTACCACTAGCTAACTTATTAACTATGTTGAGACTTTTTTAACAAGACGCGTTCATTCATTTTGTGGTACCATTTTCTAGTACGAACATGTAAGACTGGATGGAAAAGTCTGCCATCTTTTAATCAATTTGGGCATAAAAAGTTTTTGTGCTGCTAGGTAATCATACCTTTACTATCAAACTAGGAAAAATGGCCGATCAGGGTGAAAAGAAAGGATTTAAAAGCGTGGCTGCAGGTACCTTCAGCATCTTGTAGTTGTGTTGGGCTAAGACGTGATCTGGAGAAAAAAATTAAATATTAGCATCATTTACTATTATTACTATTATCACCAGATGATTACAAATAGACACCTGTCAGATTCCAAACGTTCTGCAGAAGTAATGGGTTGTGTCCGAAACCTCTCTGATGTGCGACTGTCTCCTGGAGTAATGTAACGTCGAGGCCTTCGAGTCTCTCGGTCTCCATCGCCGCTGCTGCTAGCTGGCTCCACATCCTTAGCTGAAAGATCTGCTTTAGCTGTCTCACTTCGGTGGATTGGTAGAAAATGTGTGATGAGAGATACAAAAAGAAAGTGAAACTAGAATAAGAAAATGTTCATCATAGTCAAATTAAGAAAAACAAAGCCTCTCATAGTATATCATAGCAACAATAAGCACAACCAGGGTGACATGGGAATGCAGTTACGCTTTTTCTTGCATGCCTGGATTAGCAATGGGATCGTTTGTTTTCTTCATCACATGCACACTAGGGTAGATCTCTGTGTTGGTAACCAGTTCAAGCTTTCCATCTGTGCAAGGACTGCTGGAGATAGATTACATTTTACACCTGGGCTTGGCAAAAGATTTGGAAGGTACCAAAGATGAATGGATTACCACAATTAAGCATTTGTTGGTAATGTTCATGTGGGATGGAGCCAAGTGGCATAATGGTTAGGACTGTTACCTCACTGCAAGATTTTAGTCTTAGTTTGGACAATTTCATGCTAATTTTGTATGCTAATTTTCTCTCCAGCTGCTATGGTTTCATTCAACAAATTGCCATTCTGAGTGTTTGAATGCTAGATGCTGTAATCTGTCTCTGGACTCTTGCTCTGCTCGTAAAAAGATTAAGCAAGTATTTTAATTGAATGAATCAACAGAACATGCAAATATTGGTGAAATGACCAGCAGACATGATCCATGCAGCTTTGGTATTGTTAACATGGATTATTCATCCACAATTTAGTTGCAAATGATCAATAAATCACTAACAAACTGTTATTCATAAAATGCAAACGAGTTCATGCCAGTGAACCTACAGCTCTGGCTTCCGGTTGGCATTCTCCAGGTAAGAGTGTCGCAGCTGTGCAACTGACACCCTTGTGTCCAGGGTGCCCACTTCCCCGTTAGCTACCCCAGGTGGAGGGGCAATTCTGGCAGCCTCTCTCCCGGCTCCTGCTCTCTCAGTGTGATACATGATGGAGTGCTGACTTACACCTATGTCTGACATGGAGCGGGTTCTTATCTTGGGTTTGGGCCCACCACTTATTTCCATACTTCTGTGTTTGGCCTGAGGCAAAGAAGAGCCTCTCTGGAGGTAGACAGCTGAGTCCAACCTCTGATGCTGTGAAACCGCCTGCTGAGGCACTATCTCTTTTTTAGCTTGGGGATTTTGATATTGTATTTGAAAGTCCTCCACTTTCCTTGGGGGGAGTTTAGTTTGCAGTTCATGCTCTCCTTGAGACTGTCTCTGGTTTTCCTGAGATTGTCTCATTTGGTTGTGCTGATGTTCTCTTTGAAGATCTTGTTGGATTTGAGTTGTATGTTCAATCCTTCTGGCTTCATACTGCTTCTGCTCTGGGGGTTCATGATGCATTATTCGGGACTCTGGATGGTGCACCGGCTCCAAGGACTGATCCTGTCTATGCTGCTGACATACAGAGGAGTAGGCAGGCTGCATATATCTACAAACTCTCTCCTCTTGGGTGTCATGGCTAGAAGGATGCTCTCTTACTCTTTCCCTGATTCTCTGAGCTTTTCTTTCCCTACCCCTCTCTCTTGGCTGCTCATCATCCCAATCTTCCTCTACATGACTCCTCCTCCTCCTCTCTGGGCTGATGTTTTGCCACTCCATGTCTTCATACAGGCCCCTGTGAGGATCCTCCACGCTCCGTTCCCTTCGGCGAATTTCAGATGGCAACACTGCCTTCCTGCTCTTTAGCAGGCCCTCCGTCTGTGCCTCTTCTTTTAGGACTTGTCTTGTTTCCATTCTTGCCTCCCTATGAGCAGCATAGATTTGGTCGGCACTCACCCTTCTGCGTGTTTGTACTTCCAGGACTCCTGAAGGCGTTCCAGTCAGCAATGGAGCATTCATGGCCACAGTAGGCTGAGGGTCCACAGCAGGGCCAGAGTGTTGGTACTCAGATGTGAAAGGAGCAGGATGGTGACCCGGACTTGGCTGAGGTTGTGACACTGTCCTTTGCTGGGTGTGCTCTGAGTGTTGTGGTATATACTTCGCAGTGCTGCCATGACTATGATGTCTGTTTTGGAGGTTCCTGTCTGGACTTTGGTCAGGGTGCTTTCGTGGTGTTTCTTCTCTGGACAACCGTTCTCTTACTCGGATTCTTGGAAAAGGAATGCATGTCAAACATTAACGTTTCAGTCCAATTAAAGAATGACATCCTTATCATAACACCAACAAACGCATATCTCAAGGTGGTAGAAATAACATCTACCTCACACAAAGATTGGTTAGAAAATACCAACCAGACATTGCGGCAGAAACAATCATAGAACTGTGACTACAGCTTCCGATGGCTGTTTACACAAAAAGTGGCAAATGGCCTGCATTTGTATAGCACTTCATCAAATCCAAGGACTATAGTGCTTCATACTATAGAGTCACCCAGTCATTCTTGCAGTTTGACAGAAGCAAAGCTGTCATACAATCGGTGACACCAGACTGAGACAGACAGGGGAAGCAGGGGTTTGAATGTCCACTGGTTACAGGACATATCCCTGCCCCTGAGCCACTGCTGCCCCAGTGGACACAGTCAAGGCATGAACTAAGTGCATCCTTTCCATTTCTGGGATTTAAGGATTTCAGTAAGGTGCTGCAACCCAAATAAAAATTGAGAATCAGTGTGATCAACTCCACAAAAGCAAAAGTTTTGGAGTATATAGGTGTGCTTAACATAATGACAGGGGGGGGAAAGTATTGGCAATGGATCTTTCCCTGATGGAGCAAAGACATTTTTGCTCTCACTAGAGAATGGTTGTAAGGTCAGTCCCAATTAGAAATCACTTTCTACGGAGAGAAAGTGTTTTTTAGAAGTGGGAGCAATTAAGACAACTGCCCATTTTCACCTTGAGTTTGGCCAATTAAGTCCTGAGATAAATTGGATCTCAAGCCTCTTTACTACTTTAGGTTTAAAATTTCACAACTGAGCAATCAGGAAAAAACTGAAACTGTTGCTATTTAGAAAGAGTTGCCAGACAAAAAACAACCCCAATGTTTGGTCTCTAAAAATAATGGCACAATCTAATTTATCAATGTTTCATCTGAGAAGAATTGAACTGTTGCAATTACAGTTTCACAAAAGTCCTGACTTCCTCCACAAGAGGCTGATAAAGTCTGATCAAATGACTACTGCAAGTTATTTCTACTGAACCACATGGTGGCAAGAAGCAAAACTGTAAATGTAAATGTCTCAGTTTTGTGCAGCCATTTTTAAAATCTCAGCAAATCATGTTGCCTTTAAATGAAACTTACAGTGGAAAAGTCTCAGACGTAAGACTATAATGGGACCCGTATCAGCTCCTAAATCCTTCTCTAGTACAGCAAGATCAAGTAACAGCGTGCCAGTAGAGCTAAGTCTGAATCCAACTCTCCCTCCCGAAAGTCTTTATGCCAAATAGTAAGTCCAGCTATTTTCATCTCTAACCCAATGACCTCTGGTAGTCAAAGGTCACTCTAATCTCATTGTGGACTGCTAAGCAGGACATAAGTGAAGGGAATCGGCTTTATCTAAAATGGCAGGAAGTGCTTAAACACTGCTTGTGCTTCTTGAGTACGCAATCAGGTGGGACTTTTAAAGCTATTGAAGAGTGACAAAGCACTGATTAGAGTCACACACCAGCACTACCAAACCAGAAATAATACAAGGAAGTGACTCTTTACCACATAAGTTACTGCCCTTGGACAATGTCAAATATTTCCATATTTCTGCTTCCTTTGACTTGAAATCCATTTGAGCAACTTCTGTCACAAAACTTCCTTTTACTTGGTCTCTTTGGTTTTATCAGCTAATGAATTAAAAAAGTACAAAAAACACCATCGTTACTAAGCAGACCCTTACAACTGCTTAAATAAATGCTATGAACTGCTCTTGTTTTCTATCTTCATTTTTTAGGGACTTGAAGTTTTGTTAGTGGATAAAAATCTTCCGAATAATGTAGACTTTCCTTAACTTCTGTCAGACCTCTCTCTAAATTTAAATTGACGATTCAAAATTCACTAGTAAATGAAAAATGTGTCCACCGTCCCAAAACTAAACTAGACCGTATACTTAGGTACAGCAACATATTTACCCAACTTGTCTACTCCATTGCTGCACACAAAGACCCTATGAACAAACTAAAACGTGATGCATGCATCAGTAGTTACACATTAATAAGATAGTATTAAAACATTGAAAAGCACTCGCCTGACAGGACACAACCCTGTGCAACTTGAAACAGGTGGAGAGATTGGGTTATAACATCATCATACGTAGAAACACCAACAACATTTTCTAAGTTTAAAACCTGCTGTGAGTAGGTAAATTGTCTACTTGGACTCTCCACAGACTTTTCTCCAAACTTTTTGTTGACAAAGTAAACTAAGCAAACACACAGAGGATATGAGGGTTGCTTTTGTTTTTAGACTTTTAAGTTTCATTTACCTCAGTTTTTCACCTGCTGGTAGCCATTGGAAACTGAACCACTGTACCATTTGCTGTGTTTTCTCAAACTCACAGTTGGTTGTGGTAGATAACTAGGATCAGTTGGAACATATGTAACATTGAGTGATTTTTATTAGAGCTTTGAGAAGACATTTGTTGTGATTTGTCTTCACCCAAAGTTCAATGCCCTTACTAGTGCCATGTTTCTTTATACTCACCCCTGCCTGTTGAGGATGCTCTGAGCCTGCTGCTCTATGAATAAATCCCCAGGCGAGATGCCGTAGCGTGTGGAGGGCAAAGATGCACGGCGCGCTGTGCGAGGAGAGCTCGGCACCACGGCGATTGTGTAGTTCCGGGTGGAGGCGGGGCTTGGATCTCGGTGGGACACGTCATGTTGGTGGGTGTGCTGCCTCTGTTGTGGCTGAGGATGGTGCTGCTCCTGCATCCGGCCTCTAGATGTGACTGAGCGCTCCTGAGCGCCGCCTCGGCGGTAATTCTCCACATTCATCGCTCTCTCCTGTTCTGAGAATCTGCCCGGTCGTTCTTGTGTTGGGGGAGGCGCTTGATTTGAGTGGGCCGGCCTCGGTGGGTCAGCAGAGGCAGGATCTGGGTGTGTGGTCATGTAAACTCGGCCCACTCCAGAACGGTATGGTACCTTCGGCTCCCGTCCGTGAGCCTCCACCTCTGTTCTCTCTCTGTCTCTCCTGGCGGCGATGTGCCGGTCAGAGTTGTCCTGTTCACGCCGGGACCGGTAGCGCGGTGTGTACTCAGTGTCCGCCTCTTGATCCAGCAGGATCCCATAGCGCTCTGACAGCTGCCGGCGGCGCTCAGCTTTGTAGCGGGCGATGCGTTCAGCCTTGGAGCTGAGGTTGGACGGTGGACCTGACGTGGGTGTGGATGAGGTGGATAATGTCACGGGATCGACGTACACCACCACCGGCTCTGGGCGTCCGCTGCCAGTGCCACCTTTCACCTGAGGTGTTCTGTCTGGAGAGGTCACCTTCTTCTGTGGCGGCTCCATCTCTTCTCGACTGTAACGCCTCACTAGGTTAAACAGTGGAAATAATTGATTGATTGCATTATTTAACGCGCAATGACTGCAAGTTTGAGTCTTTTTTTTGTAATAAGTAGATTTATGCCAACATTAATTTATCTGATCAACAAATGTCAACTTTGGTATAAAGTAGAGTTCTTTGCTGAGCTATGTGCCCAGGTAAAGAGGCTATCACATTGGCCCAAATCAACCTCCCTCCATAGCTCCACAATATTTAATTCCACAGTTGGAATTAAATATAGTCTTTTCTACAAATGTAGAAAAGACTACATTTGTATGTCAACATGGGTTTGTTGACATGCTTTAAAAATACGACAAAATGAACTAAAACAGCCATCACAGGCAAAAACCTGACTAAAGATAAAGGTGACCTATTGTACTTCCTCAAGCCAGTTAGAATAGGTCTGTGGGTTAAGTAAGTAAGTAAGAAGTAAGCAGTAAATCGTTTCTGGATTGTAAGTCAACAACAAAACACTTGTTTTTTCCAGCAGCCATTGTACAGCACATACAGTGGTAAAACCAGCTGACCAAATGTGCTGGAGCTTCACTGGGGTTCCTGACTTGTGACGTTACATTCAGAAAGGTTTTGAAATGGACCATTGTCCTTTAATCAAAAAACATTCACTTATTGACAAAAACCGTCTGGGTGTTTTTTAAGCACGTGGGCTGATTTCAGAGGCAGTTGAAACCAAAATGGAAGAACAAAAATGTGCAAAACTTTGCATAATATATCCCCTTTAAATATGCTTACACAACTATTTGCATTGACAAATTAAAATAGCAGTGTTAATTGTAAAGAGTGACTAAAAGACAGTTATTTATTTTTTTAAATCAAGCTTACTCATCCCACGAGGCTCACAGGGGTCTGAAGCACGCGTGTACCGAGGCGGATCTTCTTCCAGCATCCTGTTGGCTACAAAGCCACCTGGCACCAGAGCAGGTGGCGCTTCACTTTCAATCCCCTCTAGCCGCCGGGCTATCCTTTCTTTCCTAAAAGAGATTAAAGTTAGAGCCTGAAAGTCAGCAACACTTCACCTGTACAAGTCTTAAAAAGATGCTGTCAAGGAGTTTGATATTGGTGTAACAGTGCATGTAATGAAAATATCCAGGTTTGGTACAAAAAAACAAATAAACCACCACTTTATACCTGAACACATGCAGAATGTCTCTGTTGCATAATGTGCAATGCAACGTTACGTAGAGCAGTTTTTAAAAAAAAGACTCCCGGGTTTTAATAAATTATTAAAGTACTTGTCTAAGCAACATGAAGCTGAACGAAGAAATCACTGGTACTGAAGAAAAATCAGCTAAAGTCCAAATCCAGCTGCCTGCAGGATTCAACCAGCACTTAACAGATTAATTTCAGTTTAAGCAACTTTGTAATAATTATTGGTATTTTGCCAGTGTGAGATAATGTTTCTCTAAATTCCATCCATCCATCCATCCATCCATCCATCCATCCATCCATCCATCCATCCATCCATCCATCCATCCATCCATCCATCCATCCATCCATCCAGTTAAGCAAGTCAAAAATGTGCCGAACTGTTGCTTTAAAACCAAGTCGTGATTTTTGTGCTTACATTAAATTATGCTCACCTGTTCATTTCCAGATCCTTGCAGATAGCTTTCTCAAAGTATTTTTTCAACTCCGACACTAAAAATATGACAAATAAATCTAACATTTAGAAGTCATAAAAAAAAATTTTGTTGTTGTTGTATTCAGTGTTATCGATACACACCCTTGGGAAGAACGACCAGAAGTTTGGCATCTGTGTCTGAAACACTCTTGACCAAGTTGGTCTTGTCTTTTAAGGAGAAGTCACTCTGAAAACTTAGAAGATAAAAAATAGAGTCAATTATTCACATCCTGGTTATTATTACTAGTTAATTAACCAAAATTAAAATAGGTTTGTTATTAACAAAGACCAAATCAAGAGCTCATTCCTATTAGCCCATTACTCTGCGACGAACCAGTTTACATCCCTTTAAGTACAGAAGTGGATGAGAGGTGAACCATCTTTATACAAGAGAAGAAGTCAAGTTGCCTCCCAGTTAAGCTCTTAAAGGGTAGAATGGAAAACATAATAGTCTTTAGACAGCCAGAACGCTTCTTGGCTTCAGCTGACTCATCTTTAAGAGGTGATGGAAGGTCACAGAAAAGCTCTGCTGCTGCTGAAGGCATCAAGGCCCAAACTAAGAATTAGGTCATTAAATAATGTCACTCCATCCAAAGGAAAAAAGGTGAACAAAGGTTTCCCCAGCAGGCCACACCTGTAACTACGACTTTCCTTTCTTTAGAAAACTCTTCCCTAATCATTCTCCTATTTTGTCTGAATATTTTATGTTTGTTTTGTTTGTCTACTACACCAATGTCTGAAGGAAAGCTGGTGTTTATTCTGAGGTCTTATGAATTTCTCCAAAGATGTACATTATGCAGTGGCGCAACTGAACATTATTCAGGTGGATGCGAAAACATAAATCGGCGCCCCCCCCCCCGAGGGAAGGAACATCAGGGTGAAGGAGCGACGCTCACCTCCCCCCCACCCCCGAGGCGACGATTCGTGAAGTGTAAAAATCGCTACATTTACCTCGTTATGTGCGAGAGGTGAAGCAGCGTAAGGCGCGCTGAAGTGTATGGGAAAACATAATTGGCGCGTCGCCCCCTCCAGACGGGGTTTTGGCGCCCCCTCTGGTGCTGCGCCCCTATGCGTTGCATACGCTGCATACCCACTTTTTGCGCCTCTGACATTATGTCATATTAAATTTCTGTACATTTCTTACCCTATGTTTTATTTGATGACAACCTGTTAATCCACTGACCATTTATGTCACTAAGATGCACACATTTATTGATTAAAACATAAAGAATTAAACGTTTTCCTTTCTTACCTTAGAGCTTCTGTTGGTAAAGAGGTTGAGCTGGAAAGTTTTGTAGGAACTTTAGATCCAAATCCTGAGAAGAGAAACAGGATGCCATTTTTAACATTAAATAATCTACACAACCATTTTCAGTTGAGTGATGCAGACGTTTCAATAATCAAACTACACTCAGCAATGAAACAAAAACACTTTTTCTATCCAAACCATGAACTGTTTGTGATCTGTGGAGAATGATATGAAGTGCATAGTGTGAAAGATTGACGTGGTTTTGCTCTTTGCACTTTGTATGCATGTATTTTTGTTATGTTTTACTTTAGACGATGAATTACTGCCTGTTTTGACAGTTTCAGGTATTCTGTTTTGAGAAAAATAACCATTTATTAGCTGTATTCTGCCTTTCTAACATCTCATCAGTCTCTTTCCAAGCCTTATTTATAAATATTCATAAACTTTCTCAGTTCAATAATAAAGACTTCACAATTTAAAGACCTCTTATGTCTGCAGTATTATTACTAAATATTACAATAGTCATATTGTTTGTGATTAATCCAAATGTTTCTCATTGTCCCCACCACCATTTTGACATCACAGTTTGTAATTTCTATATTACCGATTCTGATTGGAACAAAACTCAAATATTCAGCCATAATTATACAAGACGGTCGCTGAGAGCAACAAAACGCACACATTTCCATCTGCTGCTTGCTGAAGGACATTTATTCTTAGATTAGTGAGTTTGTGGGTAAATATTTGAACATGTATGTATACTTTTTACTCATAATAAACTTTTGCATCAAATTCTTGTTTTTAAAATCATTGATGTGTACTGCAATCTGTAAAAAAAACATTTAAAGGGCTTAATTAATACAGCATTTATGAAAACAATTAGTGTACTGCAGCTGATACTCATATATTCAACTTTAATACTTATTATAATATTAAACTTTATCACAGCAGCAGTTAAATTTCTACCACAGCAAAAGTCGATTGCAGTTCATGTTATGGTCGATTCCATGCCTCACTATCAGCTGATAGTTGACCCTTTAACTCTTATGTCACACCCAGGAGACGCATCGTGTTTCTGCTTCAGACGCCTCCAGAGTCCCTCTGACTAATTTTGGCCTCCAAAAACTTTGTGCCAAAACACTGCAGCCTTCTTCACTTCTTATGGTGACAGGAACAGATCAAATTCCAAAAAGCAAAACTTTTATTGGTGCCAAAAGTCGTAGTTCACAAAGTTTGCTCCTCATCAGTTGCTTTTTCTCTGTCAATTCTGCTTGGTTTTCATTTCTATGTGTTCCATGCAGTCACATTAATAAATACCACAATATTTGCATCATTTGTTTTTAAATAAACCAACGGCCTGATGGGAAATATGCTAGAGGTGTGCACTTGTGTGACCTCACAAATATCCTTCCTCTGGTGGAAAGCCCCTCGATGCAGATGCCAGTTTAGCTTCCCTTGGAAACCCTGAAGGCTGCCAGCTGCACAAACAGTCCGAGGTTCAAGACGGAGATGACCAAGGAGCAACTTAGGCGCTACGGTTGGCATGATGAGACGAGGGATTGTCTAAAAATACTCAGAGCCTTCAAATAGACTCTGCAGGTGAACTTGGCTACAACTTTCAGCTAAATAAGAGTTTAATTTAACGAGATAAGTGAGGTATCAACACCTGAGGCGGGTGGAGTGGGTATAGAGACTGTAACAGTATCACTACTTCTACATATTCTACTCAATAGTAAAGGTAAAAAGTAGCCATCCAAGAAATTACTCAAGTAAAAACGTACTGATCAACTCATCAAAACATCAATTACTTAATATTTAAATAGCTGTCATCGGGGAGACCAAAGCATAACGTTATGTAGAAATTTTTGTATTTTAAAGAATCAAAATTAAAATAATTCATATAAATAACAAAATTAGGCAAGAGAAAAACTTTTCCAAATCAATTTCTTTCAAAATAAAACGTATGAAACTAACAAAAGCAGCAGGTGTGCCTCTGGGTCTGGTGATTTTTTGGTTAAAATGAGATTCAGAGAATCTGAATCTGGGTAGGGCAGGAGTGTCCAAACTTTTTGCCAAAACTAGCAAATTTAAACAACTGACGGACCTCAAAACTTATTAAAATAAAATTAAAGAATGTGTTTAATTTGTTTTTTTTTTGTTTTTTTTTTCACCTCTGTATGTCATCAAAAACCCAAAACATGAAAAGGGCTTCAGAATAATTAAAAGAAACTGTTTTTTTTTGTCATCAGTTGTTTTTTTACCATTCTTCGGCTAGGTAGCATAGCCACCAATGACAACAAATAAATAGTTTTTCTGTTAAGGTGAATTGTTTCTCCACCATTACTACATTTATCAGCGCATACATCAGCATGATTGACAGGACTAAGACCCTCCTCCTGCCCCTGATAGATTGTTTTTGACCAGGAGCAGTGCATTTTTGCAGAACACAATAGCAGCAGGTGGAGAAGCTCAATTATTTCACAGATTATTTGTCTCATACCAAAACATGGTGACAGATTTAACAAAGCTATAAAACGCGTTTTTGTAAAAGTTACAAAATGCAGCTTTAAAAGAAAGCTTCCTGCATGTCTCTAACATCTAAAAAACATTGAAATAGTTCAAATAAACTAAGTTGAAGGAATGATTGTCTCTACAGGTTCTTGATTTAACTTTACCAAACCAAACAAAGCAAACAGAAATCTGGAACATAACAGTGTCACTCTGCAAAAATCAAACTGGAAGAAAACAGCAGGTCAGTGGTTCCTCTTCCTCAGGCCTTACCTTCCCTACACGGCTGCACATGGTTCACATGGAAACTAGAGATCCAGGGGTTTCGAAACATGTTTAAAAAGGCAAAATGAAGAACGGCCTGCTCACAGCCGTTTGCTCACAGCGGGGGCAGCGGACAGGTAAAGACGGAGGTGACACACACCCACACACACACAACTGCAGCAGAGAGAGAGACGGACTCAACACAAGCTGCAACCCACACAGACTGGGAGTCACACCAGAATGAGTCCAGGTGTGTGTGCAGAGAGAGAGAGAGAGACAGGACAGCAGGGTGCTAAAGCAGCTCAAAGCCCCTAATCAGATTACAGGCAGAAATTAGCCTTGATGATAAAAACTCTGGAAGGGGATTGGAGGAGGGAGCCGGTGGAGCTGCAGGGGGTGCTGCAGGGTCCTGGGCTACTGGAAATCAGATGGTTGCTTAGTACAAATTCAGGTAGTGCGTCAGCCAGCATGCTATCAGGTTCCCAAAAAATGAGACCACATGTTGCACTGAGACTGCTCAGCAGATAATTAGTAGAAGAGTGGAAACTCCCCCGAGACATTTACATTTACATCCGGATCATAATCCCACAGGTCCATCAGGAATATAACTTCTCTCACAGCAAGGTTTTTGTTGACTGTGCTTCTCCTCTTTTCTCACCTGTTTCAACAGCACATGAATGAGATTTTTATTTTTTACAGAGGTTTAAACATTTTTTTTAAATATTGGATTTCATATTGTTATCAATCAATAAATCAGTTTATTCTGTTGATTTAACAAATATGATTGTTATTAATTCACAAACACATCCTCTTACTATAATGGAGTATTAGGGCCATGCAAAGAAAATAAAATAATAAAATGACAAGAATAAAGTCATAGAATAATGAGAAAAAAGTCATAACATTTTGACTTTATCATGACTTAAATCTATGACTTTATTGTAGAAATATTAAGATTATTTTCCTGTAATATTATCACTTCATTCTTGAAATATTATGGCTTTCTTCACCAATTATTGCGACTTTATTCTCATATTTTCCCAACGTTATTCTCATAGTATTATTCCTTTTTATCTCACACAAGTTTATCCTCACAATATTATAACTTTATTATCATAATTTTCTGTTTATGTTTTTATTTATTTATTTTTCTTACTATGGCCTAATATTTCTGTCATGCTCTTCCAACTTACTATGCATAAGTGAAAAGGGAGCAAGAAGAAAGAAAACTCATATAAATGTGCTTCTTTCTAAAGAATTATAAAACAAAAATGTTTCCATTAATGTAACAATTTAACTGGCAAAATATACATATTTTGCCTCTTTACAGCTCAAACGTGTATAAGACTTAATATTTTTTTCTTATAAAGTATATTGAGTTGTTTGTCGCTGTTGTTGGTGCTATAAGTTACTCTATGAAAGATTGCACTGCAAGTCAACTTGGCCAGTGCAGACAGACACTAATTTAAAATATTTATATACTCTGAGGAACTCACTGCTGTTAAACAAAAACAATTCAAAAACAGAGGAAAAAAAGAAAAGCACATTGATAATCATCAAATAAAGTAAACTGGTGTAAGTATATTCTGATGGTATTGACAAAAAAAAAAAAATCATCAAACTCTGGTCAGGTTTGGGAAGAGAGTGACATCGGGTCCGTTCTTTACCCGCGGATGACCCGGAAAGAAGAGATGACGAGGCAGTGTGGGAGGAGATTAGAGAGCGAGGCATCGAGGTCAGAGAAGATCAGACTGTTCTGAATGTTAACCGCTGTCAAAGTAAATTCACATAAAATAATAAACATCTGAATGATTAATTATAAGCAATTATCTTTATATCTGCAGCAAAAAGTCCACAATTGAGCACATCACCCATATTGTTCTCACTTGGTTCCAAGCATTCCTGCAGCACTTTACCTTCATCACATCTGAATTCATATGTAGATTTCTAGAAATATCATTTCTTCCCTATTCTCCCTAAAACAGATGTGGAATCTGACTGAATTTATTCTATAAATGGAGGAAAATCTGCAGAAAATATGAGCAAATGACAGGAAAAGTAGACTGCAAAGTAATGTCATGTTACCATGGAGGTTTTCAGATTGTTTCACTGTTTCCCCTCAGACTGAAATTTTCCACAGTTGTTTGGTTGTTGCTTCTGGGATACAGTGGCATTTTAATAATTTAACTAGCTAATAAACCTAATTAATTAAAAACTTTCAATTTATTGTTAATACACATTTTCTTCAGTGTAAAAAGGTTCAGGAAAATGAGATTCAGATTTTCTTTGTAGAGCCAAATGAAATGGAAATAAAAATGGAAACTAAAGCAGCCCTGACTGCAGAACCAAGAAGAACACCAGTGAAATAAATTATAATATTATCAGAAGATGGCATAAAATAAAAATCATTTCAAAACAAAAGGACACAACCAATTCTAATGTCCTTACACTGGCTAAAATATTTACGTTTGTTTATAAATCACTAAGCAGCTCAGCACCAAAATACATTAAAGATTTGATGTTGTGTCAACTTTCCAGACCAGAGCCAGGCCTTCTGGTTCTGGTTCTGCTCTGCATCCCCAGAACCAAACATGGAGAGACAGCATTCAGTTTAAATGCTCCTTTAATCTGGAACAAACTTCCAAAAACTGCAAAACTGCTGAAACACTGAGTTCCTTCAAGTCAAGGCTAAAAACCCCACTATTTAGAGTTGCATTTGATTCACAATAACTAGAACATTGATCAATATATTTGATATTGATTGAAAGAAGTCAAGTGATGCTCACTGAAAGGTCCAGGGTGAATATAATACACAGTGACAAACCAAAACTAAAAGCACATGGCCATGGCGACTACGGGAAAAAGTCCAAAATCAACAGTACTTTCTGAAGGGTGCTGAACTTTATGGGTCAGACTCAATGATCTAAGGAAGTCATGCGTGTGTTTGTAAGCATGCTTCATCTTGTGACGGTTACAGGATGTCCTGGGTGTTGGCTTTCATTGACAGGAGAATGACTGGTTTGTACATCCCATGCTGAGACACTTAAATGTTTGGGATAGTTTCGGTCTTGGGACAGAAAACAACTGGCTATAAGTACAGACTGTGGACTGGGTTGCCAGATCTGATGGCCATTTTTCAGCCCAAGCAAAAAACAAAAGCCCCCAACCCAAAAAAAAAAAAAAAAAAAGTCAGAATATTGTTTCATCAACCACATTTATAGATTTGTGACAGTTCATGTCGTTTTTGGTCGTCTGTTACTATATTCTGACCAGAAGCAGTTCCCATAGGGAACACAATGAGACTTAAATATTGACGTTGCCCTCAGATTTCTGTTTTCCACTTCTACTACATACTGACAATTGATTAACCAATGACTAATCATAGATTATATCACATTCGGCATTTTCTAGATGCTTCAAAATAAATTAACTAATGAGATAAGTGAACTAACACAGCATTTTGTTGAAAGGGTTGTACCTTCAAAAACTATTTTGGAAAAAAAAAAAAGTTCCTCTGAACTCTTTCTAAAAACTTGCCAAATGTTGTAAAGCAGCCAAATTTTCAACACCCATCCAAACTAATTTTTCCAGCCATAGTTGTTTAAAAGCAGCCCAATTGGACAGAAACCCACCCAATCTGGCAACACTCACCATGGAGTCATGAGGTTAGTCTCAAAATACTACATCTTTAGCTTCAGACAGAACATATGTCGTATAATTGTGGGTAAATTATTAGTATTTTTACTCAAATTAAGGGATAATCATTAATTTTGCACATTTGAAAAGCAAAAATTAGGGCTTGTTGATATGGCTGAAAATCTGATCATGATATAAGCGTTTCATATCAGTCGATATGAATAATTATTGATTAGTTTTTTGTTCTGAATATCTGAAATATGACAAGATATTTTGCGTTGTTTTATCCACAGTTTTCTCTCCACTCTGTTTTTAATCAGTTATGAGGCACAGTGGTGAAACCTTAAACTGCTGCTGCGCAAGTTACTCAACAGGTTGTTGCTAGGTAACCAAAGAATGAATGAAATGTTGCTAGGTAACCAAAGCGTTAGTGAGCTTAGCTACATCTCCCAGAATGCTGTGTGGTTCCGGATCGCTATATTCAGTGGATATTTTACATTATTGAATAGTGAATATTCTATCTGATGTGTTATAGATATTGATCATGTGTCATATTATCGCCCAGCCCTGGCTAAAATGTAATACTCTGAGTAAGAGTCTGCTGATCATGTTGTCTGAAACAAACTTCAATGTTGTCATCAAAACAACTCCTCACAGTCCATTTTAAATTTAGTCACTTGGAAGGCCAGTGTTGTTTACATCCAAGAAGTCTTATGATGACATTCTGGTCTGCTTTGGAAAAAAAAAAAAATCAAGGGAAGACAGAGAGTGTTTGGAGGAATGAGTGGGAGCTGTAAGATGGATGACGAGTTTAAAGACAGGGGGAATGCGAAGGAGAGCGGGAAAGAAAACAAGACAGAGACGAAGGCGTGGAGACGGTCCTCTGGTAAACACGGAGCGACCGCTCTCTGAGGCAGCCACTCACAACACATGTTGCCTTATTAGGGACGTCTGCAGGGAGCGCGGGCAGACGGAGGAGGGGTGGAGGGGCAGTTAGTGCAGGAGAGAGGGTGAGAAAAGGCATCACAAGCAGGAGACGATGATCCGGACCAAGACGTGGCAAACTGCGCGGGTCGGTCTGTGCTGAGCCTGCAGAGTCAGTGGGTTCACCTCAACAGTATTACTCCTGTCATTTTAAATGGCAGGAGTAATACTGCCATTTAAAATGTATCACTTTATATAGTTATTATATATTAAATTAATTTTTAGCAATTTAAATACTTGTTTTAACTAATTTCACTAATTAAATTCAATAAATTCTTTTCATTTATTACATAAATCCATAACTATTTAAATGCATGTAACCATTGATTGTTTTAGTCACACTTTTTCCTTCCACTCAACTTTCTACAAACATGCTTCGCTGCAAGCATGTTAATAGCATGTTATTTGATACAAAGTTTTGGCACTAGGATGGAGGGAATCTTTTGGCCATGTCAAAACTGGTTTATTTCACAAAACTGCAATGGAAACTTTTTGTCTCATCACTTGATCAACAACAAGGTGTCACCACTGACGCAAACCACGAAGAAGAAGATGACAGGAAGTAGTTAGAGGATCATGGCGCAGCATGTCTTTTAAACAAAATTATTCACATTTCTTATTTAATGGAAACGCTGCA